AAAACCAAGTAACATTACATAGAATGTAGAACATAGGCCACACAGATGTGCCGCATAAAAACCAAGTGAACAGATGAAACTTTATAATGCAAATGGACTCCACAGAAAGGACTCCACAGATCTTAAGTGTATCTGAGACAGGATTTGTTAGAGAAAGGGCAGACTTGAGAGTAAGTGTAATATTGGAATTAACTGCTCAGTCACCACATCACACAACTTCAGGGAGCACCGTTCACATTCTATTCTACATCAATGGTTCTCAACCAGGGGCAATTCTGCCCCCCACCCCGGGACATCTGGATTGTGCGGGGCGGGGGGTGCTTCTGGTCACCGCGATAGTGGTGGGGGGCGTGGTGCTGCTGAGTAGAGGGTAGGGGGATGTGGTTTTAAGCAGAGGCCAGGGACGCTGTGGAACATGCTACCAAGCACAGGCTGGCACCCACAATAAGGAAGCAGCTGGTCCCAAATGCTAACAGTGTTGAGGTTGAGAAATTTTGCTCTACATGAGTATTCCTTTTAAGATTATGCAACAAGGAAACAAAGTTAAACAGAGTTTTATGACTTGCTTAAACTTTGCTGAATGGGTCAAAGAAGACATCAAATCTCTGATATCAAAGAAAACAAGTTTTAGACCTTTTTATTTGGGCTAGAAAACTGCCGTCTAGACAACTTCATACATCCACCTTTTAGCTCTGTTCTAATGACGACACAATCTGTGCACAAGCTTTTGATTTGCTAACAGTATTTTTTAAACCTACTGAGTCTTCCCACCATACCTGTGTTTCCATTTCCATCATCCTCTGTTTTATTTCTCTTATTTCTGCCTGTGTTTCAGCTTCTCTAAGTCGAATGGTCATCAGTTCATCTTGTAACTCATTCACAGCATTTTTCTTAGCAGGGTCTTTCCACCTCCCAGTAGTACGAGCTAAGTGTCGCTAAAATACCAAAAAGTATTTTTCCAGTATCAAAATAAGGGTCAACTTAACTAAACTTTTATTTCAGGCTCAGTACTATATTAAGCATTTTATATACATCATTTTATGTAATCCCCAAAAATCTTAAAAGTGAAACTATTTTTGCATTATACGCGTAAGAAAATGGAAATCATGATTAAGTGACTTCAGAAAAGTCACACAACCAGTAAGCAGCAGATCTGGGACTGAAAGTCAGAGTTCAGCTTTCCTTTTTTTTTAATTCTGTGGATTAACTGTTGTGAAGAATACAATTTTCACCCTAATTTTTTTATAAGACAGATTTTCACATTATTTTTAATGAAATCAAATCATTTCTTGGGGAAAATGGGGGCATTCGTGAATTAAGGAAACAATACCAGAATCCAAGAAAGAAAGAAAAAGGTATGGCAAGGACTAACTTCAGTGTGTGCTAGGGGCAGCCCCACTCCAAATTCATGCCAAGATCACCATTCTAAAATGATGTGCTAGTTTTTTTCCTTTCCTATTTCTCTTCTGTCTTATAGATTCTGTTTTCTTGCTATTTGTCAACTGTTTCCTTCAAATGTGAATAAATCTGGGTGCATATAACCAAATGGCTGTTTTACTTTGTGAGAAAACCAATTTTAATTTTCTATTTTTTTTTTACATTTTTTTAATTGAAGTACAGTCAGTTTACAATGTTGTGTCAATTTCTGGTGTACAGCACATTGCTTCAGTCATACATGAAAATACATATATTCGTTTTCATAGTCTTTTTCACCATAAGTTACTACAAGATATTGAATATAGTTTCCCGTGCTATACAGTATAAACTTGTTGTTTATCTATTTATACATAGCAGTTAGTATCTGCAAATCTCAGACTGCCAATTTATCCCTTCCCACTACCTTCCCTCTGGTAACCATAACTTTGCTTTCTATGTCTGTGAGTCTGTTTCTGTTTTGCAAGTTCATTTGTGTCATTTTTTTAGATTCCACATGTAAGTGATATCATATGGTATTTTTCTTTTTCCTTTTGGCTTACTTCACTTTGAATGACAATCTCCATATCCATCCATATTGATGCAAATGGCATTATTTTATTCTTTTTTATGATTGAGTAGTATTCCATTGTATAAATATACCACAACTTCTTTATCCAGTCATCTGTTAATAGACACGTAGGCTGTTTCCATGTCTTAGCTATTGTAAATAGTGCTGCTATGAACATTGGGTGCATGTATCTTTTTGAATTAAGGTTCCTTCTGGATATTTGCCCAGGAGTGGGACTGCTGGGTCATATGGTAAGTCTATTTTTAGTCTTTTCAGGAATCTCCATACTGTTTACCATAACGACTGCACCAAACTACATTCCCACCAGCAGTGTAGGAGGGCTCCCTTTTCTCCACATTCTCTCCAGCATTTATCGTTTGTGGGCTTCTGAATCATGGCCATTCTGACTGGTGTGAGGTGATACCTCATTGTAGTTTTGATTTCCATTTCTCTAATAAGTAGTGATACTGAGCATTTAGAAAACCAATTTTCAAAGTAAGTTAACAAATCCATATTCAAATTTATACTGGTGTCACCCTTCTGATGTTTCAAACTGACCCGTGAATATAATATCAACAGAAGAAAAAATATGTACTATATAAAGGAATATTTTCTCATCGTTCTTTTAAAAAACTTCCATAGATCACAATGGTATAACAATACAACAAAAACATGGCTTGATCTCTAATTTATCTTTTTTAAATCATAAGAATCAAAAAGGAGAAGCAGCTTAAAGGTACTTTCAATTTACAAATGCTCTGAGTTTTGTGCATTAGACAGAGTCTTTCCCACTTTTAAATTCAAATCCTAGTGTTGCTCATTAGCCACTTCAAATTCACACAAAATGGATATTCACATTTTACCCTCTTTTAAAAAGCACACGATATATGTTGACATACCTGCCAGTGTTCCTCCAAATCCCTGACCTGTTGTCTAAGTTCTTTCAAACCCATAATAGCTTCTGCTTCTCTCAGTTTCACAGCAATGAGTTCTTCCTGAAGCCTAGCAACGTTGTTTTCATCAGGAAAAGAGTTGTTTCTCTAAAGCAATGGAACATTTAATTGGGGATTTATTTTTAATTTAAAGAATAAAATACAGCATACATAATACATAAGAATTATTTTGTCCCATTTGTAATTATATTTAATTCTATACAATTTTACTGAGATATAATTCACAAACCATAAAACTTATCCTTTTAATGAACACCAGTCAGTCGGTTTTTAAGAGTATTCACAGGGTTGTGCAACCATAATCACAAACTAGTTTCAGAACATTTTAATCATCCCCAAAAGAAACCCCGTACCCTTTAGCAGTCACTCCACATTTCTCCTCCCCCAGCCCCTGACAACCACCAATGTACCTTCTGTCTCTATGAACATGACTATTCTGAACATTTCATATAAATGGAATCATATAATATGTGGCTTTCTATGAATAGCTTCTTTCACTTAATATGTTTTCAAGATTCATCCTTTTCATTGCCAAATAATATTCCATTGTACAGCTATATCACATTTTATTTATCTGTTCATCACTTGATAGAATGTGGGTTTTTTCCACCCTTGGGTTATTACAAATAATGGTGATATGAACATATATGTGAAAATTTTCATGTGGACATATGTTTTTAATTCTCTTGGGTATATATGAAAGAATAGAAGTAATGGATCAGATGGTAATTTTACATTTAACTTTGAAGGAACTGTCAAACTTGTTCAAAGCAGTTGTACCATTTTACATTCCCATCAGGAAGGTATGAGGGTAACTGTACTTAATTTTAAGGGCACAGAAAGTCTAACTCTGCTTGTTTAATAAAACACTATATGGGGCAACAGGATTAAAAATGTCTACAATATGGCAATAAACATCCTAACCTCTGATTGAGACTACAAAGCATAAACATCACTTACATTTTAAAGATTTATGCAAGAGAACAGTTCAAAATCTGTTTTGTATTTTTTCAGCATGTCACTTTGGGAAGAAGGTGTAAAATCTCTGTACATTAGTCCCTATTTATATCAGTACTCAAGAAATTAGCACCAAGGCGATCAAAAATATTTGTTTCAATGGTACAAGATTTAGATTAATCCCCTAGTATACTAAAAGCCCCACCCTAGGATATAGGGTTTCCCTATTAAACTGCTCTGGGGAGTGACCAAAGGATCCTAAACTGGGCCCTAGTAAAAGCTCCTTAATGAACTGAAGAACTATGGAGATTTCAAGTCCTGAGACTATGACATTTTCTCTCTAAAATATCTCATGAAGATTTTAGCCCACAGGGATGATGGAAGAAAGTTATTCTTGCCAGCTACACATTTTTATGTTGGACTTCAAATATTTTCTCCACTGAAAACCAAAATAAACTGCATATGCATAAAAAAGTATCCTGCATGAAGAAATTAACCATAGGAAGCACGAAACCTTCCAATTTCCTCTCTGCTCTATAACATGAATACCAGCAGTGCTACTTAAGAAGCAACTTTTAAAGTGGATCCAAGGGCATTTCTTTGCACCAAATATTCAAAACAAAGATCTAGATTCTTACCTAAACCATGCAACTCAGAACACTCCTAAGTTAGAGACCAAATATTCTCTTAGGCTGTTTTTTTTTTTACAGCATTCTTTCTGGCTTTTTTTCAACAAATAGGAAAATAAATTTTCTAAAATGAATATAAAACTAGCAAGCACAGTTCTGGAAAGATTATCCCACTACTGACGCCGTTACACTCTGTTCTGTTTCATTAGGAAACAGCTAAGAACAACTCGAGGCTATCTCTCGTGTCTGCTGTTTACCAGCCTTTGACTCAGTGGCTGGATACTCCTAGAGGTGAAAGAAACAAACTCAGCCTGGAGCCCGAGGCCCCAGTGGCTCTGTGATCTGCAACACAATCTCTCAATCCGAGGTTTATTAAGTAACCTAAAGGCACTTCTCCTTCCACACTTAGCTAATCTTTAAAGTTTAATAACCTTCAGCAGAGGTAAGTTAGCTCCTGTAAGCACACCCCCAGCTAAGATCTTCCCGTTTGTTCTGAGGCAGCTTTCTGTAGCTTTGATAGGTGCACTTAGATGCAATTTCCCTGAAATGTTTATATTAGCCTATTCCTACACCTCTTGCAGAGGACAGTATTATAACATTTGAAGACAATGGTTAATTTCTATTCACTAAGTTTCTCTTCTCTGACATTTTAATCTTATTCGTTTCAAAATTACCCTGGTTGTCTTCCTCTAAAAGGGCTCTGATCTCCATTTTCACCCTAATATGGGGCTGTGAGTGGTGCGGCAACAACAGAGAATAAGTGGGAATCTTACATGATTTTTCCCTTTCCTCTCAGAAACCAGCATGTAAGGCTTCCAACGTCCAAAAGCACCAAGTCCCATTTCACTGCTCAGTGAGTACCTAACAGATATCTATTACATGGCCCCTCTAATTTGGGAATGACAGCATGTATGCTTCCTCACCTTTTCTATATCGAGAACTTTATCCTGCATTTCCTTCAGTGCACACTGAGACTCGGCTTCACTCAGACGGGCTTGGACCAATTCCTTCTCCAGCTGTAGCACAAAATCTTCATTGTAGTTGGAACTGCATTTATGCTACAAGTTACAGACACACACTGAAATTTCACAGAAGTATGAACACGTATATACAGTCAAAATAAGTGCAATTACACAATACAAAGACTAAGGGCAACCAGACAGTCAAGGTTCCATCTCCCTAACACTTCCAGCCGGCCACCTCCAACTGACTTTCGAATGAATACGAAAGCCCAGGTCTGCTATCTATAAAGATGACATTACTGAGCGTTCGTAATTAGTTATCACACTAATCAAATTCAGTTCATGGAAGATAAGTATCTCCTTTTCTCGGTCCTTCCATCCAGATACTAACAATTTGCACTGTGTAACCGTGCAGCCATCAGTTGCATGTGGCTACCCAGCATTGAAATGTAGCTAGTTCAAATTAAGATAGGCTGAAAATATAAAATAAAAATACACACTGGAATTTGAAGGCTTGATATGAAATAAAAAAACAAAATAATGCATTAATTTTTATAGATTGTGTGCTGAAATAATATTTCAAACTCATTGAGTTAAACCACTAATGTACATCTGGGACTAAAAAAGTGCACTGAGTTAAATTAACATTTCATCAAATTAAAATTTTAATTAATTATGAATTTAATTATTAGCTACTCTATTTAATATGACATTTTAAAATGCATGTGGTTCACATTATATTGCTGCAGTTACAGACTACAGAAAACCAGTGCATATTTACTGAAAATTCTGTTTTAACCTAGCAGAAACAAAACCACAGCATCCACAGGAATATGAGCCATCCTAAATCCCAGCACAACAGAAACGTATTTGCTCTTAGAATCGTAGATCTCTTTAAAGATATGCGTGAAAATGACTGTCAGAAGCAAGGAAAAGGCAGATGTTGTGCAAAGAAATTAATCACAGGAGCATGAGAACTTCCCCTTTCTTTTTCTACTTTATAATATGAATACCAATGCAGTTACTTAAGAAATCCCTTTTAAAACTACTTTCTATACAAAGCTGTTCAAAAAAGCAAAAAGGTATCTAATTTACCACTATAAAGTATTTCCAAAAATAAACTATCACTTCACATTTAATTCATGCAGTAAAGAATTAGTGAGAACTCAAAATTCCAACATAGAGTCAGAGAGAATAACCTCCTACTGAACGAGCAAGATATTAAAAGGATTCCTTTAACTCTTCAGTACATTAGGAACAAAGCAGATGTCAAGTCAAAACTCTATTAAAAAACTATGAAATGTTTCATTAAAACATACGGTACTCCCTTGCCCCAGTCACCCCAAAAGATACCATTTTTTTAAATGAACAGTTCACTTAGTAAGCAAACAAGGACTTTTAAATTCAGTATACTACACACTGTTTCTCCTAGAAATTTTTAGATACTATTAAAACAGTATTTCAATACAATATTGCCCCTGCAACACACACATCACCTAAGCAAATACTTACCTTATCATACAGGGAGGAGGCACAATTTTGGAATGACAACGTCTAAAATGCAGGTGCCATATTTTGTTTAACTAGATCACAGTTAACTTATGAGTAACACTAGAGGTTTCTGCCCCTAACCTAAAGTTCCAGCAACTGCAGTTCAGGCTTATTCACCAAGACTCCATCAGGAGAGACCCAGGAACACATCACACCCAGATGGCTCATGCGAGAGCACAACCACTGCTCTGGTGTAAGCCAGCAGGTCTAACCAAGCACAAGAAGACTGTCCTCATACTGGGAACAAATTTTTATCAATAAAGTTTATAAGACTTCTAATTGTCCTCCATTGTTTGAGGGAGAAATTATAAATTCTATAGTTTATACATGTCATTTCTCCTCTCATACGACCCACTTGTTCCTCAGCCCACTGCAAACTAGCTTTAGTCCCCATGCCTTGATGAAGCTGCTCCAGTCACTGACAGTATTAATAACCATTAACAATATAAAAGCTCAACGGGAAGTCCTCCTACTCAGCTGCGCCTTCACCAGACAGTCTAGGACTTCAACACAAAGGACCGCTCTTCCACGTTTCTCCTCTGTTCTCTTCTCAGGCGTTAGCTCTTCCACGGTTTCACGGCCTCTCCTCTCTGTCCCCCGAGTCCCACGGCTGCATTACAGGCACGTTGCGTCTACACGTGTAACGCGTCTGTGTGTATCAATCAGCAGGCCCCAGGGTTTCACTACTGTGTGTTTTCTCTCAGTCTTTCCCGCAGTTGCCTTATTTTGTGGATTCACCCTGTGTGACTTCATCCACACTCTGATACAGTCTATCCGTACAGGCACTGCCAGGTACTGTCTATGTGTACGAGATACCGCCTAAGCAGACAATGAATGAGATCGCCGAGGAAGAAGCCACGGAACAGGAAGAAGGGGAAGGGGGAGGAGGGAGGACACACCAACGGGACTCCAGGGACAAACGGCAGAGGCAGACAGGCACCAACAGGTACACAGACACACCGAGGGCGAAGACTCGCAAGTCTGCCTTCTCAGCTCAGACCTTCCCATTAAGCGGCAGGTCCACCTTCACAGCTTCCAGCCGGTCTTCTCCACCTGTTTGGCCTTACACGCACCTCAAAACTCAGCTCCCCCGCGCCCTCCTCAGGCGTTCACAGTGACACTCAGGATCCCACCGTCTGACAATCGACCAGGTCAAGCCTGCCCTCAGCCCACACCACATCAGTCACAAGGTCTGAGCGATTTCTCCCTCAGATGCCTCTTGAGTTTGCCTGCTCTCGTCCGTCTTCGCGGCCATCCGCTCTCCCTCCGGATCACTGCGGCAGCCTTGCACTCACGCCCCTCTAACCGCCGAGGCACTCACAAGGGTGCTATTTGCTAGAGGGATGCCTCCTTTTACTGCTCTTTGCTTTACTGCACTTCACAGATACAAAATTTTTTTTTACAGACTGAAGGCTTGTGGCAATCCTGCATTGAGAAGTGTATCTGTACCATTTTTCCAATGGCGTTCGCTCATTTTGAGTCAGTGTGTCACATTTTGGCAATTCTCACAATAATTCAATTTTTTCATTATTATAATATTTGTTACGGTGATCTGTGATCAGTGATCTTTGGTGTTACTGTTGTAATTGTTCTGAGGTGCCACGAACTGTGCCCACGTAAGGTGAACCTGATTAATAAATGTGTGTGTTCTGACTGCTCCACCCACCAGCTGTTCTCCCATCTCTCTCCTTTTCCCTGGACCTTCCTATTCCCAGAGACCCAACACTACCGAAATTAGGCCAAATGATAACCCACAATGGCCTCGGAGGGTTGAAGTGCAAGGAAGAGCGGCACGTCTCTCATTTTAAATCAAAAGCTAGAAGTCATTAAGCCTGGAGAGGAAGGCGTGCGGAAAGCTGAGAAAGACCAAAAACCGGGCCTCTTGCACCAAACAGCCAAGTTGTGAGTGCACAGGACGAGTTCTCAAAGGAAACTAAAATCGCTGAGAAGGTGCCACCTAGAGAAGTTAACGCCTGGCTTCAAAGCTGCAAAGGGCAGGCTGAGCCTCTTGTCAGGGGTTAGATATAGCTGCTGACTTCAAGTTGAAGCCAGTGCTCACGTATCATTCTGAAAATCCTAGGGCCCTTAGGACTTAGACGAAATCTGCTCTGCCTGTGCTCTGTAAATGGAACAATAAAGCCTGGATGACAGCCTACAGGACAGTTTACTGAGTATTTAAGCCCACTGTTGAGACCCACCACTCCAAAAAAAGATTCCTTTCAAAACTCTAACCGCTCGTTGACAACGCACCTCATCCCCCAACAGCGCTAATGGAGATGAACGATGAGATTAATGTTGTTTTCGCGCCAGCTCACACGGCATCTGTTCCGCAGCCCGTAGGGCAAGGAGTAACTGACTTTCAAGTCTTACTACTTAAGAAATACATTTCGTAAGGCTATAGCTGCCATAAACAGTGATTCCTCAGATGGATCAATGATAAGTGAACTAAACACCTTCTGAAAACGGTTCACCACTCCAGATGCCTTAAAGAACAGTCACGATTCACGGGAAAAGGTTAAAATGTCAACATTCACAGGAGTTCGGGAGAAGCTGATTCCAACCCTCACGGATGCCTTGGGGGGTTCAAGACGTCAGAGGGGGACACAACTGCAGATGCGGTGAGAACAGGAGCTAGACGTGGAGCCTGAGGATGGGACTGAACTGCTGCCACCTCACTGCAAACTCGAATGAAGGAGGAGCTGCTGCTTACACGTGAGCAAGGAAAGTGATTTCTCGAGATGGAATCTGCTCCTGACGAAGATGCTGTGAAGATTATTGAAATGACAACAAAGGACTGAGAACAGGACACACACAGCTGATAAAACAGTGGCAGGGTTTGAGAGTGCTGACTCTAACTGCGAAAGAAGCTCTGCTGCAGGCAAAACGTCACCAAACAGCGTGGCTCGCTACAGAGATGCGGTTCATGACAGGAAGAGTCAATCTGGTAAACATCACCTTGTCTTATTTTAAGAAATGGCCAACCTTCCGCAGCCACCACCCTGAATAGTCAGCAGCCATCAACATTGAGGCAAGACCCTCCAGAGGCAAAAAGATTATGACTTAAAAAGACTAAGATGATGGTTAGCATTTTTAGCAATGTTTTAAAATTAAGGTATGTACACTGTTTTTCTTACAGTGCTACGCACACATAAAAGGCCATAGCACAGTGTAAACATAACTTTAATAGGCACTGGGAAGCCACAAAACTTGTGTGACTCATTTTATTTTGATATTTGCTTCACTGCAGTGGTCTGGAAACAAACCCGCAACCTGAGGTACACCTGTACTTCATGTTACATCTCATACTAAGTTGCAATAGAAGGCATTTTTACAATTCTGCCATGTGGATGGACCAGGGGTGTATTTTCTGACCCTACTGTTAGAGTCTGAGGAAGTTTTAATTCCATGTTTATTAGTACAAACGTTAATGAAAATTATACGAGAATTGATATCCTTTCATAAACTATTCAAAATGAATCTAACTCCACTAAGCCAATTTCATCCCATTATCAATTTTTGTATATAGCAATCAGCCCTATTCAATTACACTGATATGCATCTTACTGAAGAAAAAGTATTCTTATCAGGATTAATCCTTAGTACTGCTACGAGCTCACTCAGTGGAGACCCTGCACTTTACTAGTAAGTAAACCAGGAGACGGCTCAACAAACAGCGACTGGCGGTTCTGTTAACTGGGGATATGGACCACAGAGCCCATGCCCTTAGCATTTAAGCTGTATGAGGGTTGACATAATATTTTAAGAGCTTAATATATTGTTATAATACACACTGTTCTAAGAATTAATGGTATATTAAAAATCTAAGCACCTACAAAAAAAATCTAAACATCTCACATCATGTTCTTTCAAATTCAAATTACTAAACTGGAAAAATACACACTGTGCTTTATCAAATAACGACTGCCACAATTATGATGACTGACAAGTCAGCAAGGGACCATTTGTTTAAAAGTCTATGAATAATGAATGGCTTCCCTACACTTAGGACATCAAGTTCGTTTTTGCCACTGAATCCCTTAATGCTTCTGTGAGACCAGCGAACCCACTGCAGTGGAACTGGCCGAAATCCTTTTTTCAGTAGGTGGACTCTGTCCCACCTACTTTCCAATCCCGTGTGCTTCTCTGGTGCTGTAAAAGTTACTAAGGTAAAGATGGGTCAGAAAGCCCTTTATCATCTTTTTTGCTGGTATCTTGAATAAAACAACAACAACAAAAATGAATTCTGACATTCAGTGTCTGAAGAACATATGAGTGACATTGTAAAAAGCAAAGGTGTATTTTTAAGTTAAAAAAATCAAAATTGGAAAAAGAATTGTCTATGTGGACGTATCAGATACTCCTTGAATTAGTTATACATTAAGCAACTAAGTTCAAGATAATTATATGTCCTTTTCAGGACCCCTCATATGTCATGGAACCCTGTATTCTTCTCTTTTGTGGTACTTATTACAACTCTAATTAAATAATCAACTATGTATTTAATTTTCACAATACCTATCTCTCTAAATCCTATATAATCAACGCCAAGGGTACTTTGACTGATTTACCACTCACCTGTCAGAACTAAATCGTACTTTTCATAGGAAGTGACCAAACATCATTTGCTGAATGAATTAGCTGGTCAACTCTTGGTTTAAAAAAACAACAACAAAACCTCCTCTATCATAAACCATATATTAAACATTGGCAGTGGGAACTGAATGTTGCAAAAATGACGTATAAAAGCTACTTGTTTAAAAAAAAAACAAAAACCCAAATTTGTAACAGTGTGGGAATATGGTACATTTCTATTGTCACATCTAAAGCATCTGAGAAAACAACTATCACACAGGCAAGTAGCCCAAAATAGGGTTCTATGCAAGCCAGCATCAGAGGAGAAAAAAAATTACATAAAAAGTTACATCTTGCTCTCCCACCCAGCATATGATCCCCAAAAGATGTCTGTAATCCTCTCTACTACATGCTCCTGTCTTAAAAAAAAAAAAATCGAAGCAGTAAGGATGTACTATTTAAAGATGTGCCACACTAAACTTTTTTGAAAAATTGGTATATCGTTTTTGAATGATTTATTCCCAACTTCAGAAAAATTTTACATGCATCCCTTAATATGGAAGATTATCTCTGATTATTGATACACTCAAACTGCAAATTTTTTAAATTAATGCTGAAGAAAATTTTAAGAAAATAATTACTTCCATTCAAGTGAATGCTTATTTATTTTTTAAGCTGAAAAGAAAAGATGATTACATATGAATGTAAAACATTTAATCTTAGACTAAAGTCAAAATTAGTTTTGGAAGAAAGCTTTTGTTCAGATTTCTAGGCATACTGATCAACAGTGTTTAACAGTTTACCAAGTTAATGTATAAAGTCATTAGCCTATTTTAGATTTTTAGAAAGACTTATATAAACTTTTCAGTAATTACAAATTAAATGGCCTTTCTCTTGAAATGTCACCAAAGTAGAGCTAAAGAGTGTCTGTAATGCAGGAAGAGATGGTAAACATTAACTTCCACATTCACAAAGAGAAACAAACCCATTAGGTAAACTGGGGGCGGGGCAATTCCTAATTGCTGCTGAAGACCTACATTTCCTAAAACAAATTACCTAGAAGATTGCACAGCTTGCACTAACAGGTAGTTTTTAGTTTATTAATGTTTATTCATATGTTTACTAATCTTAGTTTTTATTCCTCATATCCTATCCTTGGTTCTTATAAGCAGCACATAATCCTTTCATATTTTCTTCTAGAATTACAGGAAAAGAAAAGAAGAGAAGAAGAAGTCTCCTGCAGCCTCGCGTTAAGCACTTCCCGGTACAAGGTCCCAGGAGCTGCAAAGGGCAGGCAGCTCGGCCCTCAGCAGGCGTCACGGCCGTAGCGCTCCGCCTGTGCGGACCCCGGCCAACGCCTGCTGGACAAACGCGGCCGCCAGGGTACCTGCACGGCGAGCGGTCACGCGTAGGGCAGAAAGCTTTCAAGCAGGTCAAGAAAGGCTCCAAAACAGTCTGTGTGCTCAGGGAGACTCGCCCAACGTAAGCACGCCTGCGCCTCGCCACACGCAAGAGGAGCAGCTCAGACAAGCAACCGCACGGAACGTCCGGGGGTCGTTTCCGCTTCCGGGGCTTTCCGGAAACACTGGCGTGGGACACGCACGACGGACACCCACAGGCGTGATTTAATTTCTGTGCTCGGGCTTATCCTCTGCTTAGGTTATTATATACTATTTTAATTTAAAATTATTAAATATAAGTAAGCATCAAACCTTATATAGTATACTAAATTCAGTAATAACACAATATATCGTGTGGCACAGGGAAATGCAGCCATTATTTGTAATAACTTTAAATAGAGTAAAATCTATAGAAACGTTTAGTCACTGTGTTGTACACCTGAAACTAAGTGTAAATCAACTATACTTCAATAAAATAATAAATCACTTTTGAACACCAACAATATCAGGCTCAAACTGTCAAGGGCTGGCATAAAATGGAATCAGGGACCTGTTGAAGACCATTACTCAGTAACTCTGTACTGCAGAATTGCTTTTTAAAGAATCTCAATACACAAAAAGCATTAGAAATAAAATTAACCTTTTAAAAACCGATGCTCAAAAGTTTCATCTATAACATTGTACCAAGAGCACTAAAACAATTAAAAATGGTATGAAACATTAAAACAAACAAAAACCTATGAATCTGGGTTGATAAAAAAGTATGCTTAGTAAGAGAGATTAAAGGGGGAAAAAAGAGAAAAGTCTCTTTTAAGAGGAACATTAGCTAACAGCATGGAAAATATGAAAATCACCATTTTGGAAACCCATTCAGCGGATGCTGAAACCATTAAGTAAAAGGCAGAGGACAAGATATTTACTTGGTACAAAAGTACTTCCCAGTGGACCACCTACTAGTTGCAGAGAGGAAATCACACCTTCACAAAGGAGCCTGCAGGACTCAAACCTGGCAGCACGGCAGTGGGGATTCACGTTACACGATTCCTGATTTAAAGCAGGATAAAGTTCACAACATCACCTACTATCTAAACATTAAAGATGTTTCACTGAACCTAGTTTACAGGAAGCATGACACCACGAGGAAGGAAGCAAATCGAGGGTAAGGGACAACCTGGTGACATCTGTAGAAAGTCAGCATCATCCCTGACCCTGGCTGTTTATTCTCTCCTGAGTCAGTCTGGATGGAGTTTTGTTTTGTTTTTTTCCCCTTAACTGAAGTACAGTCAGTTTTCAATGTTGTGTCGATTTCTGGTGTACAGCGTAATGTTTCAGTCATACATGTAACATATACTCCTTTCATATTCTTTTTCATTTACAGGTTACTACAAGATATTAAACATAGTTCCCTGTGCTGTACAGTAGAAACTTGTTTATCTATTTTACATGTAGTAGTTAGTATCTGCAAATCTTGAACTCCCAATTTATTCCTTCCCTCCCCCTCTCTCCCAGGTAATCATGTAAGTTTGCTTTCTATGTCTGTGAGTCTGTTTCTGTTTTATAAATAATTTCATTTGTGTCATTTTTTTTTAAGATTCCAGGTATAAATGATTATCATGTGGTATTTTTCTCTTTCTGGCTTACTTCACTTAACAATGACGATCTCCAGGTCCATCCATGTTGCTGCAAATGGCATTATTTTATTTTTTTATGGCACAGTAGAATTCCATTGTATGTATTTACCATAACTTCTTTATCCAGTCATCTGTCAACGGACATT